AAGAAGAGATGGCAAAACTACACAGAAGAACTATACAAGAATGAGCTTAACATCCCAGATAACCACAATGAGATGGTCACTGACCTCGAACCAGACATCCTAGAATGTGAAGTGAAATGGGCCTTAGAAAATCTGAGCAACAACAAAGCTAGTGGAGGTGACAGTATTCCAGCTGAGCTATTCAAAATCTTAAAAGACGATGCAGTAAAAGTGCTACACTCAATTTGCCAGCAAATTTGGAAAACTCAACAGTGGCCACAGGATTGGAAAAGGTCAGTTTACATTCCAATTCCAAAGAAAGGCAATGCCAAAGAATGTTCAAACTATCGCACCATTGCACTCATTTCACATGCTAGTAAAGTTATGCTTAAAATCCTACAAGCTAGACTCCAGCAGTATGTGGATCGAGAACTACCAGAAGTACAGGCAGGATTTCGAAGAGGCAGAGGAACTAGAGATCAAATTGCCAACATACGCTGGATCATGGAGAAAGCTAGGGAGTTCCAGAAAAACATCTACTTCTGCTTCATTGACTATGCAAAAGCCTTTGATTGTGTGGATCACAACAAATTGTGGCAAGTTCTTAAAGAGATGGGAGTACCAGACCATCTCATTTGTCTCTTGAGAAACCTATATGCGGGTCAAGAAGCAACAGTGAGAACTGGACACGGAACCACTGATTGGTTCAAAATTGGAAAAGGAGTCCGGCAAGGCTGTATACTGTCGCCCTGCCTATTTAACTTATATGCAGAGCACATCATGAGAAAGGCAGAGCTAGATGAATCAAAAGTTGGAATTAAGATTGCCGGGAGAAATATCAACAACCTAAGATATGCAGATGATACCACTCTAATGGCAGAAAGTGAAGGGGAACTAAAGAGCCTCTTGATGCGGGTGAAGAAGGAGAGTGCAAAAGTTGGCTTGAAACTCAACATTAAGAAAACCAAAATCATGGCATCCGGCCCTCTCAATTCCTGGCAAATAGATGGGGAAGAAATGGAGGTAGTGACAGATTTTATTTTTCTGGGCTCCAAGATCACCTCAGATGGGGACTGCAGCCAAGAAATTAAAAGACGCTTGCTCCTGGGGAGGAAAGCTATGGCAAATCTAGACAGCATACTAAAAAGCAGAGACATCACCCTGCCAACAAAAGTGCGTATAGTGCAGGCCATGGTTTTCCCAGTTGCAATGTATGGCTGTGAAAGTTGGGCCATAAGAAAGGCTGAGCGCCAAAGAATTGAGGCCTTTGAACTATGGTGCTGGAGAAGACTCCTGCGAGTCCCTTGGACTGCAAGGCGTTCAAACCGGTCAGTCCTAGAAGAGATCAACCCTGACTGCTCTTTAGAAGGCCAGATCCTGAAGTTGAAACTCAAATACTTGGGCCACCTAATGAGAAGGAAGGACTCCCTGGAAAAGGGCCTAATGCTGGGAAAGATTGAGGGCTATAGAAGAACGGGACGACAGAGAATGAGATGGCTGGATGGAGTCACTGAAGCACTAGGTGTGAACTTAAATGGACTCCAGAAAAGGGTAGAGGACAGGAAGACCTGGAGGAACGTTGTCCATGGGGTCGCGATGGGTCAGACACGACTTCGCAATTAACAACAACAACAACAACTGCTACTTATATTTCTGTGAACTTCTGGGCTACAACTTCCTCGGCAAATGACAGAAAGTAACATCCTGATCATTAGTTCAGAAGCTAAGAAAGCTACGCATATGCAAATTAGTTACTGTAGTTCAACGTCACAGTAACACCGAGTCTATAAACATCTACCAACACTTTAGCCTATAGTGAGGATAAGCATGGATAAAAAAAGACATTGTTGTAATTACAGAAAAAAATTAGTATGTTGCATAAATGTTTTCTAAATCACAAAACTCATTAGATATTGTATGTCAGATGTTCTTATAGGTTCTGAGTAAGATATGAATCTATTAGACAGAGCTGATACTTTAACCAGTTTTGTACAAGGATGAAGTTTTCAGGTCTCCTCATAAAGATAGGCAAGAAATTTAAAGAGAAAAGGCAACATATGATACAATATATGAATACTGTTGAAGCAAGGATAATTTGTAAGGTTAGAAAGTCATGATAAAGTTTAATAAATTGTACCAGTAGAAATTAAATTCAAGTTAAATTTCTACTGATCTTTTGCCTTCAGTTTATTTTGCCCACTACTCCTTACTTTTTCTTACTTTGTTCAATGAAAGGGAAAGGCATGCTGGATTCATATACATATTGCTGTTCATCTTTTTAGCCATTCTGCAGCTCCTGGATCTTTGCTGAACACCAATTGCACCGTTTTCTGCTATTTTGAAGTGGGAAACATTCTATCATAATTTAAAAGGAATGTACCCAAAAATCCCCACTCAAAATGTTGCTATAGCTATATAAATGTTCATGCATACTTTGCAGTTCTCAGTCCTATAGTATTAATTGTGGCTTGGCCATCAAATGTTTATCAAAAATTGAACTACATCACAGCAGACCTACACCACTATGCAAAAAAACAAACCCTATTAAGTTCTGTAGCTCATATTTCCTAGTAGCTATATTCAGAGCAGCAATCTAAAGCAAATTAAACTCAGTACTCTACTAAAATTAGTGCTGACTTAGCTATTTCTGACTAACTTTCCTCAGAAATCTCAGTGGGGCTTAACATGTGATTCAGTGTATGTTTATTTAGGCTATTTCCACACCAATGATTTATACTGTTCTATAGTGGGCCAATGCTGTGGTGATATATTATAAATGAAGGCAGGCTTTAGATTCCTGCAGCAATAACTAGATAATGCTATAAGATACTATAAATCAATAATATGGAAATGGCTGTGCAGCTAAATTTCACTGAATTCAGGGTGATTTACTCCAATAGCACTACGTTTAGGATTGTAATTGTAACTTAAATTTAATTGAGATGAATCCATCAACACAGCTGATCGGGTTAGTTCAAACATCTGTCCATTAAACCACACTGGTTTATTGCCAATGATTTCAACATTAAGGATCTGAACAAAACAATAAATGAAGAAATGATTCTGTTTGTTTTACTTGCATGGAAGTACACTGCAGTCATGAAAATCAAGAAACCTGTTTTAAAGAACCTTAAATGATTGCATATTCTCATACTATAAATGTTTCAAAACCCTGAATAATCTAGCATAAAAACTGGCTATTCTATCATGTTCTGCTGTGGTCCATATTACTATGTTTAGTATGGTGGCATCTCCATACTATATTTTTTTTTTATTAAGAATCTCTTCTAAAAGAGCAGGACAACAGAACTTGATGAAGAGACATTGCTAGCTGTTGCTTTGTATTTAAATTAAATGTATATTACATAATTTCAACAAGCTCAAATGCCACAATGTCTTAAAATTCATGAAAGCAAAGTTAACTTCTGTAAAGGAAATCAAAGGGAATATGTAATATGTTAGAGAAATAAATCTACATTTCATCATTTCATATCTCTCTCCTTTTCCTTAAGGCACAAAAAAATCCCTATGTTCTTAAATAAAATTCAAAGCTTCTACTAATTGCAGACTACACGAATGTCATCTTGACACAAGATACTCCTCATTTAGTCATATATTTAAGATAATTTAACATGCCAAGACAAAATACAAAAGCTCAAAAGTTTAGTTCGGCTCTAAATGAAATTTGTTGGAATGGACACCGAAAAGTAGTTTTTATTTTTGTTTCTCTTCTGCACTACGATAACAACCCTGCCTACTTCGATCTGAGATCGCAAAAGCACCACCCCTAATCTAAAGCATGCATGCTCGCGGACGCGTGTAGCAGAAGTGAGTCACTATTCCAGGGAACTGATGATTCATCCATTCAGTCATCCTTTTCAGGCCAAATTAACAAGCAAAACACACGTGGGTTCCAATCCACAAATCCTTTTACCCAGAATCGGCGGGATTCGATACGCCCCTGAGTTCTTTTAACTCCACCCACGGCTCCAAATATCGATTACTTCTATTTTCCTTCATGACGAAAGAACCCCCCCCCCGTAGAAAACCCAACACGTGCCCAACAAGACAGGCGATACACTCCAGTCAATAGGCGTCGTTTCCATCCCCAAAATCTTTTTTAAAAACGTCCCTTTGGACTCAGGCACCTGCCAGGTCAGGTGCACGGTCGGCTCTTCAGTTTCACTTTTGAGATTTTGACTGCGCGTGTGCAAGAGCTTTCCTCCGGCTGAACAGGGCCAGAAACATCGCACCCGAGAGGGAGAGGGAGGGAGAGGTGTATCCGGCTCTCTCTTCGCCCCAGTCACAACTTGCACCGTTCCTCCTCCTGTGACACCTTACATAATACGGGCTCCCAGCAAATGAAAAGAGGAAGCCAGCAAGCAAAGCCGCCTTCGGGCACCGAGAGGAGCAGATGCTCCTCCGGACCAGCCACCCTTCGCTCTTTTGGAAAAAAAACCGAGTGACGCCGGCTGGGCTAGAAAAATCCGGAATAGAAGCGACGCAGCAGCTCCTGGCCGCCCTTGCCCGCACGGCCGGGGTGGATTTGCTTGGCCGCCCTCGGTTCCCCTTTGCTGAGGTTAAAGCCAAAGTGTCTCTTCGGGTTTCCCCCCAGCCGTCACCTCCCCCCACACACACCGTTGGGAAATGTCAGCCCGGCCGAGCCGCTTCTCTCAGCCCGCGCGCGCTTGGGAGCGGCTCCGAATTAAGCGGGGTTGGTGGGAGGACAGGAGAAGAAGGGGGGCAAACAAAAAAGAAGTTAACTCTCTTTGCCCGTCCTTGGGAACCGCGGCGGACGAGTGTCCGCGGCTGCCCGGGTGCTCCCAGGCGCGAAGTGGCCGGAGCAGAGCCGCTGCTTCCCTCAACTTGTTCTGACAGGGGAGCCGTTCCCCCTTCGCCTCTGCCGCCAACCCTTCGCCCGACGCCTTCATTCTTCCCCCCTCCCCTTTCCTCAACTTTCCTCCAGGGTTGGCAGAAGAGAGTGAAGGCGCGGGAGAAGAGCCGGGGCAGACGGCCCTTACCTTCCCCCGAACGCCCCCGAGAGCGGAGCCCGCGGACGCAGCACCGGAGTGCTGGATGATGCCGGGGAGCGAGAGGTGCGCTGGAAGCTGCCGTTCAGCTGACAGGAGTTCCGCCGGGGAGGGGGAAGGAGCGAGCGAGTGAGCGAGGGAGGAGGAGGAGAACGTCGAGAGTCTGCGAGGAGGAAGGCTCGCGCCGCGGAGTGGAGGGAGCGGTGCAGGGGGGAGGGGGGCGGAGGACTTTCCCAGAGCTTGTTGTTTACGCATTGCTGCCCTGCTCGGTGCACGCAATTCATTCTCTGATTGGACACAAACTGGGGCACAGCCTTTCGCTGCCCGCCCGCCCTCTCGTCTCGCACGGCCATGGTGCGGCCGCCACTCGGAGCCCCTTAGGGAAGAGCGGCCCGGGAGGGCGGCTAGCAAGTTTGTCCCGCGGAAGGGACTTCGGCTCCCGGGAGGCAAAGCTTTACGCACCAACCGAGGAGCCAATGGCATCCAGCGGGCCCGCAGCGAACACATCCTCACGCGCGCGCCACCGCTGGTCCAAGCTCAACTCTCTCTCCCCCCCCCCCTCCATTCCGCCCGCGAGGTATTCATTCCCCCCCCCTTTTTTTTTACCCTTCCTGGTCCAGCCGCACACACGCTAACCAGGACGCTGGAGCAAGGAGCATGTGCGTAGCCCTGACGCATGCTCCCTAAAGCTCAGTGAAGGCGCAGCGACGCTGCTGCCCTTAGATGTCCTTTTCGTGCCTTGATAGCGACGGGAGTTATTTAGTCTGCAGCTCCGAACCTTTTATGAACTGATCTCCTGTAGAAAGGTGTTGGGTTACTAAGAAGGAAAAACTAAGACGGTATTCTTATAGTTTTAGTCTTACCCATGGGAAAGTAGAGCTTTAAGGTGCCCGCAGAGCAGATGTAGAGAGAGTCAACTCGAAGTCAACTGATCAAAATAGGAGTGTGTGGAATTTAGGGGGAAGTATGTGTGTGTTCGCGTCAGTGTTGACTGGCTGGATTGGTCCCTGCAATATTTTGGCAAGATTTGGGAAGTGGCTTGCATTGCCTGCTTCTTAGGGCTGAGAGAAAATGACTAGTTCAAGGTCACCCAGCTGGTTTTGTGCCAAAGGTCGGACTAGAACTCAGGATCTCCTGGTTTCTAGCCTGATGCCTTAACCACTATAGAAACTGACTGTCCCCCAGCAATAGAATGGAAGCCTATTGTGGATGATTTGTCACCGAGGACTATCTGGAGAAGTGCAGCTAGGGCTGGGCTGCAGATCCCAGGAGCCAAAATTTGAGGGATGGCATACAGTTTGTCTGTGTCTCTGTGTGCCCTAAGATGGATCTTACCCATCTCAGGGCATTTGATGTAAAATGAAGCAGTAATTGGAAATTCATCCTTTATATAACTGGATGCAATGGCTTGTGCTAGTTGCTAGTTTGGGGGGGGGGCGGGAAAGCATGGTTAAAGATTGGTGTGTTCAAATCCTAAACCTGTATGTACCTGATGATCTGCAGGAGAAACTCACTCCAGGCTGTGAAATACATTCCCTGGAGATTGCTTAGCATCCAGTAAATTGACCATTAAGCTTAGGGACCTGAATCCAAGTACTATACCCCCAAATGTTTCAGGATAATCCCATTGACATAATGGCATAACTGGATGGGAGCCTTTAATTGCTATTATGTAGTAAGGAAGGTAGATTTGGCCACAAGATAATTTGTGACTAGCAGGCTAGACCTAAGGATTACAAGTGATAGAGAACCTCCTTGATTGGGCAAATTAGCTTCCCCAAAGGGCTTTTAATTACACAGCATATTCTATAAAACTGTGAAAGAAAATGGAATGTTTCTTTTTCTTTTTTTATTGAATACAAAGAAAGAAAAAAAGATTAAAAACATTGAGCATGGTAAATCGTCTTTGACATACATCTACGTCTTGTCAGTCCATATTATACATTAACTACATATGATATATCTATATACAACTGTACATTCCTAGTATCCGCCTCTACTTATATTTTTGTTATTGACCCCATTCTTTTTTCCCTCCATTTATAGAATTTATTCCATATTCGATAAAATTCTTTTTCTTCCTCATTTTTTAATCTTTTAGTTATCTTGTCTAGTTCTGGGCAAGACATAATTTTCTTTATTAGTGCTTCTCCACTCGGTGCTTCCATTGCTTTCCACTTTTGAGCAAATAGTATCCTTGTCGCCGTTACCATGTGTATGATTAGATATGTGTCACCTTTATTTACGTTTTTTCCTAATATTCCTAATAGTAATGTCTCAGGTTTATATTGGATGCTTTGCCTAGTCATTTCTTTTATCCATTCCCAGACCATAAGCCAGTACACCTGTGCTTCTCTACATGTCCACCATACATAAAAAAATGTGCCCTTTTCTTTTTTGCACTTCCAGCACATAGGTGAGTATCCGTTATACATTTTGGCTAATCTGGCCGGGGGCAAATGCCATCTGTAAACCATCTTATACAGGTTTTCTTTATATGATGTCGCCAGTGTAATTTTGTTATTTCATTCCCATACTTGCTGCCATTGATCCATATTTATATTATATCCTAAATCCATTGCCCATGTCACCATTGTTTTTTTAACCTGCTCCTCATATAGCTTATATTCCAACAAGTATTTGTAAATATTCTTAATTTGTTTTTTCTCCAGGCCTAGCAATATTTTATCTAACCCTGTGTCTTGTCTGTTAATAACCCCATTCTTGCTTATCCTTCATGTATCTTGGGATACCACCATTCCAGGGCTATTCCTTGTTGTCTTAATTCTTGTTTTTGTTTTAAGTGACCTTCTTCTGTCAAGATGTCTTTATATATAATAGTCTTGTCTTTCCTATACAGATTGGGATATGTGACTGCCTCTAATGGTGATAACCAAGCTGGGATCTTTGTATAGTGTTGACGTTTGACTATATTCCAGCTTTTTATTCTTGCCGAACCTTATGTCTCAAAAAATACTGGTGGTTTCTACTTTGCCCTGTCCATATATGAGCATGCCAACTCTGCTGGAGATCGTAACTCTCTAAATGTAGACATCTTTTATTTTCTAAAGTTATCCAGTCTCTAATCCCCATCAGGGCCGCTGCTTGGTAATATAGCTCCCAATCTGGGAAACCTAAACCTCCTCTCTCTTTGGCATCCTGTAACACCTTTAATTTTATTCTTGCCTTCTTTCCTAACCACACACATTCTAAAGTTCATTTATTCAACTCCTTGAAAAATTTCTTGTCTAATTGAATTGGAATGTTCTGAAACAGGAATATCATTTTGGGTAGAATGTTCATCTTCACTGCTGCAATTCTCCTGAGAAATGAGAGTTGTAAATTTTTCCAGCGGTCTAAATCTACTTTTATATTCTTTACCAATTTGCCATAGTTATCTTCTTTAATTGATGAGCAATGTGCTGAAATAACTATCCCTAGATATTTTAATTTAGAAACTACTTGTATACCTACTTTTTCCTCAAGGTTGAAAATGGAATTTTTCAACATCTAAACCTGAGCCCAAGATAATCCAAGTGCATATTCAAGTGGTGATAAGATTTGATGTCCGCGTTTTAACAAGAACATTTCTCAGTAAAAAAGTCTCCTTGTCCAAAGCTTCTTGATGGCTTAGCCTGTCCTTGTATTCCTGGACTGGTGCAAGTTTTAAAATCTGTGTTTTCAGTCTTACTGTTTTGTGAATTCTTTCCCTTTGTTTTTGTAAATAGAAGCTATCAAGGAGCAAAACCAGGTTGAAACAACTGACAGGGCACATTTTTTCTCTGTTACTTGCCTATCTTTTTCCCTATCCCACCATTCCCCTTCCTTCAGTTGCCATCGCTCTGGTTGGAAAAGCATTTTTATTAAGAGACAAAGAATGGCATTCCTGCCGCCTCATTTCTCATTTAGCTGGACCTTTGTTTTCCACTGCTGCATGTAAATGTAGGTTTTTCTATTATTTGTTTACTAAATATTGCTCCTTTGTCTTTTGACAAATAATACCTTTATCCCAAAGACTGCCATCAAGCAATCCAATCTGTTTCATCATTCATCAACAGTCTGTGTCATTCATCAACAGTCTGTGTTCACCTGGTTTTCTTTTGTTGCTAGTCTCAACTCAACCTTCCCCAATCTCTTGCCATTCAGATGGCTTGGGAATACAACTCCTTTGGGATCTGAAATGCCATCATATTTGGAGGGTGCCACTTTAGGAATTGCTTCCTCTATTTTTGCACCCCTTCATCCACCCACATAACCAAGAGAGGGGAATAATTCACAATTACAAAGATGAATTACTGCAAAGAAAACAGCTATGTAGGATTGAATGTTCTGTTTTAGGACTGATTTGGATTTGCCAGCTGGGTTGCCTGTTCTCCACCTTTTCAGTTCCTATAGCTGAAGGACAAGGTGGTGCTCAAAATTGTATTGGTCTTAGCCCTATAGAGCTGTATGTATAGGAGCCTAGTGGTGCAGTGGTTAGAATGCAGTATTGCAGGCTAACTCTGCCTGCAGCCTGGAGTTTGATCCACAGGGGGCTTGAGATAGACTCAGCCTTCCATCCTTCCAAGGTCAGTGAAATGAAGCCCTGATTTCCGGGGTGGGCTGGGGCAGTATGCCAAAGATGACACATGGTGAAAATTGCAGTACTCTATTTAGAAGTCCACCCATTATCTTCCACTGAGAAATCCTATTTAGTCCTATTTATTCAATCCCCCTATTGAACTCAGTGAGAGTTCTGAGTAGATATTTTATGAATGAGAAAATACTTCCCCTCCTATTTCTTAAAAATGCTGTTTTTTAAAATAAAGCATTTCTTCCCTTTGGTTGATCCTGCAGTCAAAGCATACTATTACACTATCTTACCTACTTAATACTCGTGATGTTTCCTTTTTTTAAGAAAATAATTTTAAACATCAAAACTGATTGTTTATCCAGTGCTCTTCAAGGTAACTTGGCATGCAAGAATTAAGTGAAAGAAGGTTTTCCTGGGCTGGGGAAAAAGCAGTTGAGAAAGCAGAACTTATTTAATTTCTGCACGGCAGCTTCTAAAAGCCATATGAGTTGGGCCAACAGAGGATGCCAATCCAAATAACGCTTAAAGGAAAAACCAGGTTTGTTTTCAAAACATCTGGGAAGGGCCTAAAAGTACATGGTTGAAACAGCATGGAATTCAAGTCCTTTATAAACAGCACTGTTAATTCACAAAAACTCTTAAGTCAACAGCTTCT